CGCAATGGAAGGTTGCCTTTACGAGCACCATCTAGCCGATTGGGAGGAAGTAAATAAGCATTTCAATAGGTGAATGGCCTTCACATATGAAGTTCTTTAAATACTTTTCGCTGACGTTACACTAATTATCTATCTAGTTAGGTTATTTCATGCTGTACATGTAGACTAGAATGATGAAATATTAGTTTTTATTTCGATGAATAAATCAGCTGAATTTCTTTATCCAGGAAAGTCATCAAACCCTTAGCTTCTTCTATCGTTTTTTTCCCATAACGTCTAATTCATATTATACTGAATTTAAAAAATCTATCCGGATTATCAAACTGATTGAATAATAGATCACCGAATATATTGTTCTCGAAAATTGTTGAACTTTTTTTACTGAAGAAATGAATTCCCTAACGAATACAAATCATGGTATATAGTACATAAATAACATTCGTATTTATTGTACTTTCCAGATATTTTTTGAGAAACGTAAGCATAAACCGCTCATTTAGATCTTTTGTAAAATTCAGCCCACCTGAAAATTAAAAATTTACCATAATCTTAGTTTATTAACTGAAAACAATAGCAACTTTTTAAATGCATCTTACTAACTGTTCCATCCTTACAGATGTACCTTTGTCAACTACAATTCACTTGGTGTATTATTATTTTAGACTTTTATTACTGATATAAGAAAACAAATAGCAATTTTTAAAATCCCAAGTTATATAAAGTATCAGTTATGGTAATACTGTCTAGAATAATTTAGATTGTAGTGATCAACATTTTATATGAACAACTTTGAAGCAGATAGTATTATAAGAAATAATTCTTTTTTATAAACATGTGATTTCAACTCTGTTTCTGCTCCTATTAACAAATAATTCACTAGTCTTCCATCCAGTAATTCTTATATTTTCACTTTTTATCTATTTACTTCACACTAATTATTGAAGTTACTCCATTTTGAAGTTCAATCTTAACCTAATATAAACTTTTTTTTTGTTGCAGTCCATTTGAACTGATATTGAATTTACTACATAAAGCGGCATCGGAACTACAATCATCAGTGACTTGGAACTGTAGGTCAAGACTACCTATATCCGAATTATTTCTAAGACGACGAGTAATAAAAGCTTTGCCTCATATTGCGGAATTAGCTCATATAGATCTTTTGGATGTAGCCAAGCATATCATGGTCAATCGATTGAAACTTCCATCTTGCATATTTATGAACAGGGATCTGAACGAAAGTTCCATAACAAATCGTAGCTTATTATTAGATATGACTGCCGAGTGTGGTGAATTTTCTCCAGACGATATCAGCTTTAATGCAACTATGTGTCAGCCACAATTCAGCAGTGTCAATATACTCGAAAACCAAGAATCCAACCAGTCGGAACCTAAACAGGAAGATTTCATGTTAGCAGAGCTTCTTCTTCAGCAGATAGAATTAAAACAGGAATTGCTCCCAGTTCTCGAGTTCTTTGTTTTCAGTGGCACTCCAGACCAGTATGTTTCCGCAAGATGGCGTGCGGCTCGTTGTATTTTACGTTGTCAATGTGGTCTGATACTACGGCCTAAATTATCACTTATTGAGCTGCGCTCTACCTTACTACGTCTGTCAACATTGGCTTCTTGTCCAACCCATACGTCTCAACAGTTAGTATCTGACGCTTCTTTGTCATGCACTTCTTCGCGGGGTGACACCTTTAATTCACTTTGTTGTACACGTCTTATAAATAGTATTAAACAACTCATAGTTTCTTCTTCAAACTCCTTACAGACTATCCACCTCGCTTCTCGTTTGGTTCTTGATTATGAACTTTTGTCTCCTACTACTTTGACACAACTGCTTGAATTTATTAACTATCATAGTGAAAATGAGTCTCTTGATTATGCCTTATTTTTACTCATTTTCATTCAATCATCTAGTAACGTAAATGAAAGCATGAAATGGTTCTTTTCAAACCCTGTCAAACAAGGCTGCATGCTTCACTGTCTTCTATCTTCTCTTGTTGATCGAATATCATTGAGGTTATTAAGTCATAAACAGTCTCTTTCAAGGAAGGTGGAAAACTTTCTTAGTAAATTAACTTGCTTCCTTATTTCATGGCCATTCCCAGATGCGGAGATTGAAGTTATTTTCTTCGAACTGAGTAAATTACTAAGTCCCATGTTTTCGAAACAAACAGTTGGATCTAATGTCTCACTTCAACGAATAACAATTATTATTGGTGGTTTTCTACGTTTACTTGCATTGAGTTGTTCAAATAAGCATATGACAATGCAATTAAACACATGGTTTAATCTAGTAAGTTGATCTTATGTTATCATATTATCACATAGACATTAAAGTTTATTCAGTTAATTACTCTCAAAGTTTTTTGTGTATTCCATTTATCCTAGTACTAATTGAGCATGGTTTAATTGTGAAGATTCAACAAGATTTTACTTATTCTGTTGTTTGTCTCACCAAAATATCACCGCTGCCAATCCCTTCATCTCTTGTAATTACTAATCTCATATATTTCCGTTTTTAGATAAATGGAAACGAAAAAAAACAGAATTTAGTCGGTTTGGTTCATGATGCTGCACAAGCCAGCGAAATTTGTCTGACTTCAAAATTTCTTAGCATTTTGTAGTTTTCATAACTTATTTTTTGAAAAAAAAGTACTATTTAGAAAATATTAGTTATTCTGGTGATGAATGTTCTATATTCATTTTAGATTTCTAGTTTGTTTTTCATCTTTTTCACTAATGTTAATCCCATCTAAATTTGTTTAGGTCTTTATGATATGGAAACAGGGGATATCCGAAATAGGGATTTACTCATAATGGACCAACTGCTCGAGTGAATACTAGTATATTAATAAGTTATATACAATGTACGATTAGAGAGAAATGTCTATACATCTCAAAGTATCGCATGACACCAGCGAATCAACGAGAATCCAGCAAAATACCTAACAAAAGAGTAAATCTAGTGTTGTATCTGACTAAATATAAAATACAACTCGATAAAAACAATGATACATGAGATTATAATATATATAAACGTTTATGTGTCACTGCAACCGATTTCGAGCAGTTATCCAATAGTCTCAGCTGTCGATTACGACAAGAATAGAAGTTCTACAAAAGTCGATCACCACTTCAGTCGATAAGTAAGAACATCCAATTGGATACTAACAACGATATTTTTACTGATTATTAAGACTAGTGCGAAAGTAGTCCTTATTGTACAGATTATCGTAAGTTATGTTGTACTGGGGTATAGAGACCAGGTAACCTTTACTGTAAGCCAAAGTTTACGACACACCTATGAATTCTGCATACGTACAGTACACTGAGTCTAACTTGAACCAACCTATTTATCCTGGACGAGTATTATACTTATCCGGTAATTCTACGTATCTTGTCAAGACGATACTTAGTAAGACTCAGATGTCGACCTAGTTATAAAAATTCATACTGTGCATACTAACCACTAATGAGACCAAGATGCCATCTTAAGCAGTATTACAGAAGGTAGACTTCTGCTGGTAAGGAATACTATTTATGGGACATCAGGAATCTCCATAGCCTGTTACCTTACTAACAGCTGAGACCTAACATGATATTCGAAGCCTATATGGTTGGAGGCGAGGATTGATACGACGGAAAGTCAGAAGAGATAAGCTGTGGGGAACGGAGTAAAGGCGCCTCAAAAGGAATCGGGGCCGTTTCGAGCGCTATACCCTAATCGTAAGTGAAGACATAAGCCCGTACTGTCCAAAACATTGCACAGCCTTCAGTAGCTGTCACACATAGTCGGCGGCATATCGTTACATTCACAAGTCATACTCCCGCACAGGACCTTAAGAATAATCCCTCGGGGGATTAAGCAGCATCAGGGATCTGTACATGTGCAGTCCTATGTCGTTTGTGATCCTAAAATGGGTGCCTCTAGGCTGCTAATTTTCGGTCAATAACCTTCGCTGTCAGACCATAATAACATCCACAGTACGACACAACACACGCTGTCTCTTAAGATCAATGACTTCGCTATAGCTCAAATCACAGTTATTATTGTGTAGAAGCGCCTTTGTGTTGTTACATGCCAACGTAGAAAACTGATGTGATACGCTTAAACATTGTTAAATACTTTCTTGGGAAGCACCGATGAAAGTACGCGCGACCAAACGTGAGACTGTGACTGAGCAATGATCCTTCATTTGTTTAGACTAATAATCAGTTGGAGCCTCCTTAAGTACTGTTCATCAACACAAATTCAGCCAAGACCGGTTGTAGCTCGCGAGATTATTGGAATGTTTCACCAATGACAATCTATCCAAATCGTACACCCGAAACCACTCAATTCCATTCACTTTGTTGAAGCTACTGTATCCAATTGCACCTCATACTGCGTGAGATCTTGTCGTTTTTCAACGCTACAGATGAAGTTCTTAAATACTCAACTCTGAGCTATGTACACAGACTCCGCTGAAAGGTGCGGACAAATTCAACTAAACCCTTGGACACATCGAAGAATCATTTGGTAACTGTAGCGACCGTGAAATGAACACTAGGCTATTGGCTTCAGTGAGCGAATTCATTCGAACTGGGGCTGAGACTTAAAGCAGCAACCTTGGCAGTCCGCAAAGTTCTTGATCGTTTGGACACGCGTGATATCAGGCAGTTGCTGGATGTTTGGTTTGGTAGCCCATTCTGGCGTGCTTACAGCACTAAAGATCAACCACAAATCTAAATAATCACTAGTATCAAAGACGTTGGGTTCAAGCGAACCTGACAGACGCCTATCAATCACGAATGGCGATGAAGCTGTTACCATGAACGAGGAGACGAGAATGTCACTGGTCCGATTTGTGGCATCCTGAAAGCAGTAGAATGGGACTACGCAGCTTAGCGCAATAAAGGAAATGCAAGCATGGTATTACAGGGAAAACAGTGAAGCCGTCAACCTACATTGCACATACATCCCAAAACAAAGTTAAAAATACTTAACCACTGGGTGTGAAAAAGCTGCTTTATGCAGAATAGTATGCGTGTAAAATAACAATGACTTGGAGTCTACATTAAATGCGATCACTCATCATAATCACCTTCTCGAATCTCATGGTCACAGTTGCTCCTACGGTCCATTTCTTCGTCCGAACGTCTTGGTGTTCCGGACTCGCTACGATGAGACCTTGAACGAGATCGTGATGCGGACCGAGAGTGTGTACGCGAACGACCAGGGGACCTTGATTCCACTGAACATGACCTACTTCCAGAATGTGAATGTGAGGCAGAACGTGACCGCGATCGTCGATCCAGATCATTTTTTATGCTATTCCCTCTACCATTGCAGCTTGGAGAACGAGAACAGGCATCCTAAACGACAATTAAGGTCAAATGAGAGCTTGACTTACCACTGAGCGCTTGTTGCTGTGATGAGAAATGGATCTTGCGTTGGAACGGTTTGTCCTGGAACGGTTTGTCCCGGAACGGCGTGACGGACTCCTAGATCGTAGGTCGTTAGAGTTTTCTCTTGAGCGTCTGTGCGAATCGTGGCCGGATTCGGACCTTCGTCTATCACTTGAAAGTGATCTATCATGTCGATGCCTAGGACTTCTAGACTTCTGCCTGCGATGAGAGCCTCGACTACGTGAACGATGAGAATGACGACTATTAGATCGCGATCTATAAGAACTAGATCTTGACCTCTGGCCCGGTCGATCTTCGTATACACGTAGCTTGCGTCCATAAAGCTCGTAACCATCAAACTTCTCAATTGCTTCTTTCATATCAGAGTAGGCAGCAAACTCGACGATACTAGGATGGGAGTTACGAAAAACTGTAAAACTTACCCGTCGTTCTTAGCTGACTTGTGGGCATCCGCATAAGTAACTTCTCCAGCCTTACGCATCAAATCTTTCAGATCCTGTACAAAAGAATGGATAACTGAAAACCTTGCCCTGGATAACAGACTAACAAATACTACTAATTTGGGTTAAGCTAGCCTAGTACTTAAAAACGCGCGAGTAATTTACCTCGCGTTTTTGATCTGACCACAGTACGAAACCACGTTACCACATGCTCGGCCGGACGACCGTTGAACGGCGCGACCAGAAACAACCCTGGGCGACTGACCATGGCATGGAAAACGACCAATCCTACGCGTCCTACGCCACCCGAAACGACCGAACGTCAACGAGCGGTAACTGAATTCGAGATAACAAGCAATTAGTTACTTCTTGCAGTTCTTACAAACAATCAAACAACAATCCCTTACCTGCCAGCTCACACGCGACGAGAGATTTTCAACAATAACACGATACTCCGTCCTGGTTGGTGGACCGTACCTACTGTAACAGATGAAAGATTAGCAATGAAGCTTACCGATCGCGACCACTGCAAACACCACCTCCGCCGCCACCCCCACCGGCTCTTCTGCTGCCGCCTCTAGTGCCAGGAGGAAGGCGAGCATGCTCAACGATCAACCGTTCACCTCGCAAGTCTCTTCCATGGAGGTCATAGACGGCATCATCCGCATCTTTCTCATTATCAAACTCCACAAAACCATATCCATTCTTTAGAACGATGTCTCTTAATCGTCCATAGCCCTTAAAGAACCGTTCAATATCCCTCTCGCAACACCGAGGAGGTATACGACCAACATAAACCCTCGACATTTTGAAACTGACAGCCGGAAGCGACCATACAAAACTGATTCAAACAACAAGTCACAAATTTGTCATCAAATAATATCTCAAATGATGATTCTTGCTATGTCGAAAAATTTTATTACTATTTTTTTTAAGTGGGATCTTTTGCGTATCACATGATACTGAATGTTTCAATGCTAAAATGATGATGCGGTAAAATTACTCAATGAAATTTCTGTTGCGAGTTCCTTATCTGTGAATAATGTTCCTGAAAGCATATACTGTTGAACTATATATTTTCAGTTTCATTAACTATTATAAGTCAAAATTAGAGACATTTAGCTCGACCTACAGACCCGCAATCTCTAAAAACATAGATGAATTAAATTTTTCTGTTATATGCAACACCAGTCTTCAGTCTTCAGTAATAATGATAGGAGGTCTATCCACCTATATTATTCCTTGCATTTTGTAATACTGTGGAGGTCCAACCTCGTTTCGAACATATTAACAGACGGTGCTGATATTACGTGTTCCGGTAGAGAATTCAAGTAAATAACCACTCGTTGCGAGAAAGGGAAATCCAAATGTAAACGGTTTGATCTCGATTTATGGACTTTCTTCGAATGTTCTCTCAAATGATCGTTTCTAGACGGAAGCAAAAGATAAGACATGTTAATACAAAGGTCATCGTTCAGTATACGATAAGCCAATATTAGATCACCCCGTGTTCTACGGTAAGATAACGGAAATGAGTTAAGGTGTCTTACTCTGTCTTCATAAGATAGGTCAGATAGAACTTTAACCATCTTAATCCCTCGTCGTTGGACTCTTCCCATCTTATCAGCTTCATACTTGAAACAAGGACACGCTGCTTGAATCCCATATTCCAAATGTGATCGCACGTAAATCGGGTATAATAATTTGAAAATTTCGTCATCTAAGTACTGGAAAGACCTACGAATAGACCATAACACCCTATAGCCTTTCGCAGCAGCAGCCTTACAGTGACTAGTTGTTTTGAGATCATTGCTTAATATGACTCCTAAATCTCCATAGTTTCTTGCTTTGGATAGCACGAATCCACGTAGTGTATAGTCACACGATTCATCAGAGTTATTTAACTGCACCACTACACTCTTATTAGGATTTACTTCTAGTGACCACCTGTCTAACCATGCCACCAATGAGCTAAGATCGTCCTGTAATACTATTCTACCCGACATACTATGTACGGGTCTCCAAATCTTTATGTCATCAGCGAAGAGTAGGACGGATGATTTTGCTACAGTTGGCAATTCATTTACATAAAGTAAAAAGAGAAGAGGACCTAGGATTTTGCCTTGGGGAACTCCACTTTTTACAGGTACCCACGAGGAGAGAGCCCCATTAACACTTACTCTTTGTCCCCTGTCATGGAGAAAGTTACTTATCCAATCGACGACTGTATAATGGATTCCAAAACGTTCCAGTTTGAATTTAGGACCAGAGTGGGAGACCTTATCGAAGGCCTTACTTAGATCTGTGAAGATAACATCTACAGAAATATTCCGATTTTTTGCCGCAGCCCAATCATCTCGTGCAATGAAAAGATTTGTCAAGCAAGATAGGCCTCTCCGAAAACCATGTTGTGCCCTGGAGAAAAGATTATGCCCTTCAACATATTTTATAGCAGATATCCGGGTGACCTTTTCCATCAGTTGTACAACTGCACTAGTTAAGCTAACGGGCCTATAGTTAATAACTAAATCACTACTCCCAGCCTTATACACCGGACTTATTATAGCGACTTTCCAGTTTCTAGGCAGTCTGGACTGCCTCAGAGACATGTCAAACAGTATCGCTAACGGTTCAGCAATTTCATCTGATATGGCTTTCGTAATCCTAGGATGAATATCATCAGGACCACTGGACTTATCAGGTTTGAGATGCTGAAGTATCCTTAAAACAGTATCTTTCTCAATGACTACAGGGTCCATCAGCGAGCCAACTCGATCAGAGTGAATCGTTGGTCGTTCCTCATTACCGATAGAAAACACTTTACTGAAATATTCCGATAAAGCTTCAGCTTTTTCGGTATCATTTTCTGCCAATATTAACGGATTTTCTTGTGTCAAAAGTGATGGAATTCCATCGCTTCTCTTAGTTCGCCTTTTTAAATACGAGAATAACTGTTTCGGACTACATCTTGAATCCCTAACCAATTGTTTTTCATATGATCAGCTAGTCTTATTTATTAACGCTTTACAGGCATTCCTAATCTTACAATAACTGGATCTGTATTGTTCTAAGCCAGTAGAGATGAACATATTCCAGTGCTTTTCCCTTCTTCTAAGAAGTTTCCTGACTGTTTTAGTCATCCATGGTAGACTGTTATTCGGTCTTCGCGGTACCAGGTATGGTATGAACGGGGACGTAACTAGTCTAAATTTACCTTTAAATACAAACCATGCTTCTTCAACTGATATGCTAGTATCTACTAAACAATCTGTCTTAGCAGCGCATTCCTGAATGGCCGATATGTTAGCTTTCCATACATTTGGGCGAGGTGTAATCTGATCGTATAACATGTCCCTAGTCCTAAACGTGAATGACGAAACAGCGTGATCGCTGTCCACTAACGGTGGAAGAATATTTAAGTCGACAATATCCTCAGTCTCATGAGTGATTACCAAGTCCAACAGAGAAGAACCCTGGTTAACACCAAAACGTGTGGGTTTGGATACATACTGCACTAGTGCATGCTCCATTATTGTTATCAGGAACCTACTATCAAAGGAGTTTATAGATCCTTCCGTGGTCATCTCAGTCCGACTAATACCAGGCGCATTAAAGTCTCCTATTATCAAGCATCTGATATTTTTACTCCAAAGATGAATGTGCTCTAAAATGAAGTCATCAGCTAAGCAGATTGGGCTGCGATAGATGACACCTAGCATAAATGTACTACATCCTATAGCCAACTTACAGCTAATGACTTTACAAGTACCGCTATCATGGGATTCGCTAGTAGAGGAGCGGATAGTTATATTGGTTGGTCAGGTTCGACAAGGTTAAATGTCGTCCTGATAATCTGTTTTAGCACAGAAAAGCACAGGAACGCGTGTTAACATAGTTGGGGAGACTTAAAAATAGTTTAGGCCCCGAACAACGTACTCAACAGACACACTATTTGGTATAGTATATTAAAGATACCTTTCATGTTCTCATGTCTGCCTGTGGAAATCGCTCTGCGCAAGCTTATTTCGCAACAATAAGCTGTTGTCCCATTCTGCAAAGCAATTATCCTGGATACCTTAGTACGCATATCCTGATTACATTGGGCCTCGGATGAAGTTGATAATATTTACTATGTTTGCGATTTTTGTTATTTCAAAAGTTTCCATTTCGTTTATGTGCTTTTCATGGAGAGTATCAATTTTGGTTTCTCTGGCCCCTGAAATTCGCGATGGCGATATTGGTTCTTTGGATTCTCATCCCAGCTGTTTGGATCGTTTGGACTATGCTAACCTGTAGTGGGTGAATTGTCGATATAGAACAAGGATTGATGTTATTTAAGTTATTTACGCTACCAGACTTGTAGACCTAGTATAGCATAGTTGACTCGTATGGATGAGGCTGTGTTGGAACTCAGGGGTACTCCTTATTAAGAATGCTGATAGGATGAATACTATCCTACCAGTAAAATAATATATTTGATATGAGGGCAGAAGAGATACATTTAGGGTAACTATGCCCACATAGCCGAGCCATGTGGCCTCGATAATCATTCTTTCATTGATCTTCATTATTTCTTACCATCTATTTAACGTTCTGTGTTCTGTGACCTAAAATAGTGAGGGTTGCGCCTTGTGGTTGATTCATGGAGATAATTTAGTGCTATGCCACAGTTACCAGAGACCTCAGTTTGCAGAATGTTTGTGGTGCCTTTTTTGCTTGTTAGATAACTGATTTATTTTTTCCGAAGATTTAAGCATTTGATGTTTGAAAGCTTGATTTCATAGCGTTTGAACACAGAGTTATCTGTCGGCGTTTAAACGATCAAACTGTTTGGTCGTTAACAGAGAAACCTTTCTCCATAACAAAAAACTAATATTTTTTCTTTGATTTTTTATCTACATAAAACATTTTATATTTGTAGTGCAAGTTTTGACGAATGCAGAATCTAAACGTGTTGTTCGTTAAGTTAATGTGTACCATTCATATTGATTTACGCTGTATTGAGGACCCTTACCAACTAAACATTGACGTTTTTTAATTTCAAGTGTAAAGATAAATATTTCTTTTCATTATCCAAAAAAGAAGAGAATTTTAGTCATTTACAAGTATTTTGTGGTTCATTTAGTGGATGGGTGATGCGTCTAAGTGCATGATTTCCATTCAGGATATCGATTCAGTCATCAAAAAACTAACTACACCCATCTCCCACGTACAAACCGCTGTCACGCACCTCAACTTGCAGGATGTGAAAGTGAATTAAGTAATAGTTAGGGCTTTAAATAAAACATTTGTGAGGGTTCTGAATTAATATGGGACTCTCGCGAATTAGCGTACAATATGTCCAGCTGTTGGTGGAATGGCTTGTTAAACAATTCATGAAGGAAGAAAAACGCGAGGCTACTAACTCCGACAAAAAATTTCACTATTCATTGTGGAAAGATAGAAAATGTAATGCCTTCATAAAATTAGAGAGCAAACAACGTTTGTCTGTGAAGTTTTAATCTAGATAGAAGGTATACGGCTTGCTATTAACCGCTTGATATAGGCTGCTGCAAAACTCACTCACATGATGGACGGAAAAACGCCAGAGAGTGCTTGATGTCAAATATATGCTAAACTATGAATAACAGATTTGCTAAGAGTTGACGGAGATGCATCGTAACCCTATATAAGCTTTGGGAAGTCAGAGTATCCAATGTTTTCGGAAACAAATTGTAGCCTTTAGAAGTTAGCAGAATTAGCACGCTTAGAATCGTGTAACCGCACGTCAAGAAAAGCGACGATCCTTTGCACTTATTTCTTAAAAATCATCAAAATAATGCCACCTTCACTACTAG